ACCATGGTGCGCCAGGCTTTGTAGTGTTTCCCAATGAGGAAATGCATAATACTGAGCTTGTTGCTACTTTAAAAAACATGCATACCAATAATAGGTTTGGCAAGTTGGTTTTCTATTTAGAGGCTTGTGAATCAGGTATTTGTGGACCTAGTTACATTAAATAAGAATCTACCATATTCATTTAAACTAAATTAAAGTAACTTAATTTAAAATAAGGTTCAATGTTTGAGAAATTGTTACCTGATAATATCAATGTGTACGCTATGACCTCGACAAATTCCACTGAATTAGGCTGGAATTGCTGTAGGGATACTGTTCGTGGTGCCTGGGTCAGTAAGTACCTTTCCAACTATATACCATTGATAGATAAATATTAAATAATTTATAATAATCTTATTTTATTATTTAAAAATTATTTACAATGTCATAGGTTCTTACTTTGGTTACTACTGGTACAAAAATTGGCAAAGTTCAGATTTCTTAACAGAGACTCTGCAGGATCAATTTGAGTACCTTCATAATACTACTAACCAGACAGGGGTAATGGAGCGTGATCAACACCCACAACACGCTCACCAATGGGGTGACCTATCTATTACCAAGCTACCTGTTTCTCAATTCCAAGGTATAAAAATATTTTATATAGTAAATAGCTAAAGTAATGTTTTAAAAATAGGCACTGGAAAGTTTATCGATGAAAATAGCTATGATGTTGATGATCACAGGGTTTGCAATCTAGTTAATACCCGTGACCTACCCGTCCGTATGTTGGAAATGAATATTGAGGAGACTGATGATATCAATGAGAAATTACGGTAAGTTTTGAGCATTTAAAAAAAATAATATAAATTTAATTAATTATTTTCAAAACACTAGTTATGAGCACGAATTGAAACAATTACTGAATGGCCGTAAATATATGGACAAACATATGGCTCAATACGTGTCTAGTATTCAACATTTGCCGGGAATTTATGTCAATTCAGTGCTCAATACTAAGCATACGATTGACAACAGTGTTTGCTATCGGAAAATGGTGGACACGTTTAGGGATAATTGTTTCAATATAAACAAGGTAATAAAATTTATTTATTGTCAATTTATAAAAATTAACATATTATATTATTTTTAAGAATACTTATGCTCTGGGCAAAATGACTATCTTGGTCAATATCTGCAATCAGCTAAGCGGTAGTCCGTATGAGTCTATGGCGATCGAGCAGCTAGCACAATATTGTCAACATAACGTGCACCAGTATCCTATTGAAATTAAATAAATAAATAATACAACTATGTTATAAATTATATATTATGCGTATAACTTATAATCTTTTATGACTTTTATGTTTTTAAATAAAAAATTTTAAAAATATTATTTAAACATTTATTTAATTGTATTTGGTTTGTATTAACTCACTAGCAATACATTATGATCAATATATTCAAAATGAATACTACACTAAAAATATAATTTAAAACATTTTGCTTAAAAATTATGTTTTAAAAAGTTTAAAAGTCAACACATTCAAGTACTATTAATATTTTTTGTATTTTACCTTACTCACTTCACTTATCTACCAGTACATTGGGTTCTCATAAAAGTTGCACATAAATGTACAGTACATTTGGTCCAACACCTGATTTGTTGAAAATTATAAATCTATTGAATGCCTATAATAGTAGAAATGAGTCAACAATCAGGTGTTGGTCTAAATGTACTGTACATTTACGTCCAACTATTAGGAGAACCCAAAGCACCGGGAGGTATACAAAAAAAGATTAACTTAATTAATTGATTAGATTAATATTAATAAATTGTATGGATTATCACATTTTTGCAGATTACCAATGCTTTTGAAATACCCTGTTGCAAAAAACATTGAATTATAAATAATTATTTCAGGGCTATTATATATTTTTTATTATAATCAATTGTGTCAGTTCACTGTCTATTTAATTATCAGTTAGAGTGGGATTTAAAATTTTATTTCTTACTAGTATATAAAGAACCTTTTTCATTTTACATTTTAATAAAGTTTGCTTTAAAAAACACAAATAAAAATCATCAAAATGAATTACCTATGTGCAATTTTAGTTACAATAACTTTCGGTGCGTATACAGCATTGGGGGCCAATTTGGACGAGATAACGAGCCTCCCGGGGCTCTCGAAACCCATTAAATTCAAACAATACTCGGGTTATTTGAATGCATCCAAAGGTAGGCATCATTTCTATTGGTTCGTCGAGAGCGAGACGGACCCCGCGAGCGCACCGGTAGTCCTATGGCTGACGGGTGGGCCCGCCTGTAGCTCTCTGTTCGCTATGATGACAGAGAACGGGCCCTTCAGTGCCAATGAGGACGGGGTGACACTCTCTAGTCGTGAACACGCGTGGAATACAGTGGCGAATATGGTGTTCATGGAGTCCCCGGTGTCGACCGGTT